CTCTCCAAAGGTTGCCAAAGCGGTGCAGGACTTCCAGACTCCAAGGAACGTGTGTGTCGCCAACCTCCAGACATTTGTTGCGGAGGTGGAACAGCGAACCCCGCAATATGGGAAGTGGGACGCTGAACGGTACGCCTGGGGAACCGGAGCGTCGGTCCTTCAGTAGGTTGATATGGGTCGGCGACAGAAGGTTCACGCATTTGTTGGGGGGGAGCGCGAAGATGAAGAAGAGGCGCACTGCTGTCAGGTGGAGACCAGTGCATTGGCGCCATCGTTTCCGCGTGCCCAATCTCGTTCTGAGTAGGCATACGTGGCGGACGAGCCAACGGAAACCCGCTCTGCCCAGTGGCAGATGGACGTACGGGTCGCCACGAGGACGCAAAGCCAGGAGGTGGTGGGACGAGCCGCCAACCATCCCCGGTACCAGATGCGGTACGCGGTGTGTGCTGCTGCGCGCCCGTGTGTGTTGAGCCTCTCGGTATGAAGGAAGGTGCCTCTGCTCGAAGACCAGACTTTGCTGCGACATGCTCGAACGAGGTTTGCTGTTCGTCCTTCGTCTCTTGTTGCATCGTGCCCCAACTTGGAGCAAAGAGGTGAGGGGGCTGACCCGCGTGCCTTGGATGAGCGGTGGGAGTACGCTGCTGCGGCTCGCTGTGTGGAGGCTGAACGTGCTGAAGTAACGGCGCTCTCAGCGAAGAGGCCGCTCCTGCTGGCGCAGTTCCCTCGCAAGGGGCAGGAGGGGGCTGAGAAGGGCGCGAAGTCATTATGGCTGAACCGGCTCCGGGAGTGGCCGGTTGCCCCGCAGGTCGGATGATGGAGCTAGGTCCAGCAATGGTCTCGGGCACCTGGCTGGCGAAAGGATGCTGTTGCTGGGGCTTCGGTTTTGGGCCCTGCCGTTGCCGCAGCTCCAGCTCGTGGCGCTGCACGTGCATGCGCTGTTCCAGCCGTTGATTGCTCAAAGCCTCTTCGACGCTGCGACGAAGTCCTCTTGCATCCCGCCTGTAACGTTGCTTATTTTTTTTCATCTCCTCGTGGAATGACATCCGGTACGTGAATCGATTACCTCTGTAAGCGCTTGGGAGAAGCCCGGAATAATCAGCCGCGGTTTGCATCTCCTCCACCCAGGAGCTCGCAGCCACGTCTCCTTTGAGCCTGCATCTTCCAGCGTTTTGTATATACGCAAACACTCTGAGGGCTTGCTTGCTTACCTGTTCTGGTATCGGAAGGGAATTTCCTACCCAAGGCTGCAGCTCCCCTAGAGCCTTATAACACCGCGAAATTCTATACGCGCAAATGCTTGCCTCCACAGCCAGCTCCGAAGGGTTTGACTCTGGTCGAGGAGTCCTACATCGCTGCAGGAGCATTAACATTCCCTTCCGTGTGCTATCATCATTGCATTGCTCGGCAGCAATATCTGGTCGTCCCAAAGCCTGGTGTCCCATCTCCAGGATAAAATCCACTGTCTTCTGCCGCTCTGCCTCCACCTCGGGAGTTGCGTACACCCCACACAAAACCAACTCCT